CCTTCTCTCTCGGTTTCCCCCTCTGTAAAATGGGGATCATCACATTAATCTGGGAAAGTGCTGAAGCATCTGGGGTCCCGCACTCAGCTAAATCTTTCCGGGGTGTGGGGTGAGATGGTCAGATTTCCGGATTTCCATGGTGGGTGGGAGTGATCAGATCTGCACCTCAGGAAGGGGAGACTTAGCGACTCTGCTCTGCATTGTATGTCGGATTGTCATTGAAAAGGCTGCCCCAGCAAAAATAGATGCTGTGTGTTCCTTCTGTTTGCTTTCCTAGCCTACACGTCCCTGGGATTCTGATAGGCCAAGGACGTGTCATTATCAGCGAGCCAATGACCTCATACAGTGCTATAAGCAAAGATCCCCCCGGCACTGTGTCCCACGGATGGTTCAGCGGCCCATGGGCTGGGGGGGGCGGGATCTGTGGAAGCCAGCATGCCTGCAAGCCCACCCGCATGGGTCTCCCTGGAGGCTGTCCCCCAGAGGAGGTGTGGCGGGCGAATGGCCTAGAAGAGGCGCAAGAGTGAGGCCGGTAATTCCGCGACTCTGGGCTCCACTCTCTGTAGCCCCTTGTCGCCCCACAGAGCGCTCTTTGCGCTGGTCACAGACTGATAGAACCGTGCGGCTGGTAAGGGTCCCCCAGTCTCAACCCACGCCGAGGCGCAGGGTGTGTTGGCGTGGAGTGACCCTGACCTCAGTGGCATTTACACGAGGCCGAGTGGAATTTGTGCCCGTTTGTGTTGGAGGGGACGGGTGTGCCTGGCTTTTCTGGAAATGGAGGGCTCTTGGCGCCATGTCTCGGGGGTGAATGGCCAAGATACACAGTGAGGAGTCCTGACAGAGAGGGTCTGCAGCAGGGGTGGAGAACCTAAGACCCAGGGGCCGAATGCAGCCTCGGCTTGCCTGAATCTGGCCCCAAGACTCTGGCCTCCCCTTCAGTACTGGGGAGCCCGTGGTGGCACGCCAGCCCTCCCACTGTTCCCCCGTGAGTCTGGAGCACACCGAATTGCCTCGCCTGGGCCCGCCTAGGCTATGGTGTGTGAGAGGAATGTGAGGAGCGTCTGTATCCTCAGATGGGGGCCATGTCAGTGAGGGGTTTTTTGTTTGGTTTTTGCTTCTCATTGGTGTGCGGCCCCCGACTGGTTTTTCTGTGGGCCACCAGCCCTCGCCCCAAGACGTTTCCCCACCCCCGTCCGACAGAATACACTGGCCTCTCTGACACAAAGGGCACGGTGGATGGAGCAATGTGCTGCCCCCACGCTCTATGTGAGCGGTAAGAGGTGACATGTCGAGACCAGGGCGGGTGCATGGGCTACAGAAGGTTCAGTCATAGTGCCCTGTGTTGCAGGCCATGCAATTCTGACCTGTGAGAGACCAAGAGCCTGGAAGAGGGTTTGGCCAAGGTATGCAGGGCATGGAGGCCTTCTGCCCTGCTGACCCCAGCTGCTAAAACAGCCCCGTGGGGCTACAGGCAACAGGGTACCGATAAGAGGCAGCCTTGACCACTGGTCTGGCCCCAGGAGGACACAAAGATGTCAACGGTGTCTTAGCTCTGGCATGTGGCCACAGCCCCGTGCTCTGTCTGTGGCCGTTTGACCTGCAGTTCCCAGAATATCCCTGAGGAATGTTTTCGTCAAATGGCCCACGCCAGCCCTCTGCTGGTTCTGTGATGTGCGGTGACCGCGGGACATCACGACTGACCTGGCTTGCTCGATCATGATTCGCTGGGCGGTCGTTGGCATGAAGCACCTACGGAAGGCCCAGGACCCTGTCACCCTGAGATTGCAGCTGTCTCTGCATTCTAGTCAGTGCTGTCATTTATGCAAGGAGCCGGGAAGGAATAAGTACAGAGTAGTTCAGGGTCTGCAATAGGCTGCATTCACCGGGGGCGGAGCCTTGGATTAGTTCAGATCCATCTGCTATCTTCCTTGGGATTGCGCCTAACGCCAACCTGGAAGCAAAGCCACCGAGATTAATCAAAAGCATGTCCCAAACTCCACCTGCTCCTGCCCGTAAGCCTGCTCTCATTTCCTCATCATTTCTTGTGCCGGTTCTCCAACTCTTGAATCGGGCAGGTCACTTCATGAAATCCAGTTTCTCGTGGCAACATCTCAACCTGGCAACATCTCAACCCCATTCTCAAACGATTTCCTGCCTCACACCACAGGAACCAGAGTTGTAAATTACAGGTGTCGGGAATCATAGAAAACTAGAACTGTTGGGGATCTCGAGAGGTCATCGAGTCCAGTCCCCTGCCATCACGGCAGGACCAAGCACCAGCTAGACCATCCCTGAGAGGTGTCTGTCCAACCTGCTCTTCAATATCTCCAGCAATGGAGATTCCACAACCTCCCGAGGCAATTTATCCCAGTGTTTAACCCCCCCGACAGGCAGGAAGTTTTTCCTAATGTCCAACCTAAACCTTCCTCGCTGCAATTTAAGCCCATTGCTTCTTGGCCTGTCCTCACAGGTCAAGGAGAGTAATTTTTTGCCCTCCTCCTTATAAGACCCTTCTAGGTACTTTTAGGAATGCTAAAGGGGAAGAGCTTATAAAAATGGTGCGTGTTAAATCTCATTAGAACTTTCTTCACTGCTACGTGTCTTATTTTTGGTCTTGCTTGAAGGGACATGGAGGGCTACCCTGAGCTTCTAAGTGTTACAAAAGTAACTTGCTTTGCTTAGAACAAATGCCTAATTGACTACTGTGTATTTCATCAAGTGTAGTGCGCATACATTTCTCTTTAACCTTCTTTTCCTGCATAAAGACAAGATCAAAGGTTACATATATAGCACAGCAACATCAGCCACAGGCTGCATTGGAAGCTCTCCAATCATAATCACTAAAGACATGTATACTACATTTTAGCCATTACGGAGGAAATCCTGCCAGAACGCATTACGTACTTTGGTTGCAAAACTTTGAACTGCAGAACAAAGCCTCGCAAGGCTACAGAATAAATGGGACCTTGACAAAATAGCCCTCTGAGAACAGAGGGATTTCCATAATTTCACTGATCAGTGAGCCATCTTCTAGTCCAGGATCGCATCTACAGCAGTGCCAATGCAAGGTGCTAAGGTGGAGCTGGGAATCTCTTACTCACTTCAAATGGACAGGTCCATCGGGAGACACCGGACTCATTCAAAGGATGGGAGAGCACACAGTGTAGTCTTAAACTCATTAGCATACGTTAATAGAAGCCCAGGGGCCAGATTGGGCCATATTTTTGTGAGATACCTAGTGAATAGAGCACTGAACGAGGACCCAGAGGCTTGGCTCTGATACTGACATGCTGGGTGACTTTAGGCAAGTCACGGCATCATGTTGTGCCTCAGTTTCCCCATTTATAAAATTGGAATAATGGTATTGACCACTTTTGTAAAGTGCTTGGAGATCTACCAGTGAAAAGTGCTCTTATAAGAGCTAGCTATAACCAGGAGAGCCAACAGCCTGCGTGGGCCCCTAAGCAAGGGTGGAGGGGCTTCTGTTCTGTGCCAGAAGGGGGAGAGCCTCAGGAGGAAGGGGCAGGCCTAAGGATGTTAACTAACGATTGATTTACTAGGCAAGTAGTTGATGGAATTTCCTTCGACTACTCAACTAGTCGATAAGCACTTCCACGTTCTGCCTTTGAAATGCACAAGAGCCCCCGCTGGGGCACTCCACACGGAGCTCAGGTCATCTGGGGAATCCGCAGCTGATCCCGGGCCCCAAGCCGCTTTGAAATGCTGTCCAGAGCCCTGGGTCAGCTGGGGAGTCCCCAGCTGATTCGGGCTCCATCTGGTATTTCAGAGTGACAGCACCGCTTGGAGCCCGCGATCAGCTGGGAACGCTCTAGCTGATTGCGTACTCTGTGCAGCACTGCTGCTTTTAAGTACCCCCTTGTTCTCTCTCCCCACCCCTGCCCTTGCTCTATCTGATAGAGGCAGCAAGGGTGGGGGAGCAACCAGTCGACTATCTGGTCAACTTGTCCTTTATATCCCTAGGCAGGCCAGGGCACTGCACTGCCCCCGTCAGCGCTCAGAGCTGCCCAGAGTGTGCCGTGCCATGTTTCAGCTGTAATTTAAAGGGCCCAGGGTCCTGGTGCTGCTGTAGTAGCAATGGCAGTGGCTAGGAGCCCTGGGCCCCTTTGAATAGCTAGAACCCGGGGCAACTGCCCCCTTTCTTGCCTCCCCATCAGCCTGGTAATTATTATTATTCGCATCGAACAGTACTTAACTCTGGCCTGCCTGCAAGCACCGTAGCACATGCTGAAATGGAAATGCAAGCTTTCCACCCATCGACGACCGTGAGACTCAAGCCAGGGCTTAAAGCTAAGCGCATCCTAAGGTGATTTCCCCTGCATCGGGGCCTCCCAACGATCCGGGGCTATTCCTGGCCGAAGACGTGACTCAGCGTCGATGCAGGGAGTAAAGTCTGGCAGCGCAGTGATTGCAGCTGCCGGGTCGATACTAGCGTTTTGAGAGCTCTCCTACTTCATGGAAGAGACACGTCAGACACCCGCCAATGCGCGGAGAGTGAAAGGCAATCCGAATATTGATTCTTGAACACTCGGTGAAGCCCGGAACTTTAACAAAGCCAGGGATTCTTAGCCCCGGGTGGGGGGAGATTCAATGGCCTACTGATCAGGCTGGCAAATACGAAAGGATTTTGGATTCTAGTTTCACAGCATCAGGGTTTACCTCTGTATTTAAGACATATGGAACTAGAGACAATTGTGCATTGTGCAACTATGTAAATGACACAGATACGCACTGTCTCAATGTCCCAGGATCTCTCCATCCTTGGTGTAATGCTGTGGAAGTCAATGGAGCTGTACCAGAGATAAATTTGCCCATTATGAACGCTAAAACTGGCCATTGTTCTCAACACAATGGTGTTGCCAATTCAGCAGCATACCAGGGAGGCATCTGGGATGAAAAAACAACACATAGCTAAATGCTAACGTCTTTCCCGCGCATACGAAAATACTCCTCTAATTGCTTTTCTCTCTTGCTTTTCCCAGACAGCGTCACCGAAGTCAAGACAGACATTTATGTGACAAGTTTCGGCCCGGTCTCAGACACAGACATGGTAGGTGCTGTTCATCCTAAAGTTCTGACTATGGTAGGCTGGAGTGGGCATTGTTCTTCTTGTACCAGGTTAATGGGAGAAAAGTGTGAATTATGGAAACAGCATGGCAAGAAATCTCTCCACACTGTCTGTGAAATTTCTGCTCAGGCATAAAAATCTGATTGGTGCTGTGTTATTTGTCATTCGCACTAGTGGTACCAGTAGACATGGAGTCGGAGATATCCTCATGAGGGCAGTGGTCACAGCATGTTAAGAAGTCGTGTGCAGCATAAGTCGCAGAGCAAAACCAAGTGTTGATCCTCAGTAACAAACACTCGATCTGTTGCATTTGATGGGGCTTAGTGCAGAAAGCACATGCACAAGAAGTTGAAATAAAAGAGTCCACTGGGTTTCTCAATGTCACGTTGTTTTTAAGGAAATCTACCTGTTGTCACCAAACATAATCATTGTCACTGGCATCACTCTTATTCCAGATACAATAATCTGTGAAGGAATTTCTCAGTCAGTAGCTTTGGAACTAGAACTGGGCAAAGATTTTCCGCCAAAGCTTTTCTTTCCGCGACAAATGCAGATTGGTTAACACCAAAACTTTGTGTCAGTTTTTGCACTGTGCATGTGGAGGAAAAGCACCCACCCAAAACAAGTTACAAATGTCAAAACATGTCAATGCTTTCCAAATGAATCTTTTCAATTCTCAGTCCCGAACCAATTTTTGTTTCAAAATTTCCTTGGATTTTATTTTGAAACAAATCGAAAAAGTGATTCAAAAAGGCTCATATTGAAACAAAGCAATTTCCTTTTGGGCCAAACAAAACATTTCATTTGCGTGAAAAAGAATATGTTTCAGCTTCTTGGCTCACCAGCAGAACTTGAAAATTTTCCATTTTGCGTCCACCCCAAATGATTTCTATTATTATTTCTCAGAACTGCGAGCAAAACAAAAAATCAGTGATTCACCCAGCTCTCCCTTGGACTCGAAAGGGAGGGCTATACAGAGCTCGAAAGACCCGCAGCATGTCCACAGCTGGCCTGGGTCAGTTGTTTTGGACTTGCGGAGCTCCGATTGCAGGGCTAAAAATTGTCATGTAGACATTAGGGCTTGGGCTACGGCCCCAGCCTGACCGCAAGCATCTACACAAAGATTTTTCTCCCCCATAAATCCGAGTCAGCTGACCTGGGACAGCTGGGGCCGTGCAGCGGGTTTTTAAAATCCTTTTGTGGACTTGGGCCAAAGGGTGAAACCCTGGTGTGACGGAACTTCATGGGCGTTTTTCATTGACATCAGAGTCAAGATTTCTTCCTATGTATCGTTGCTCAGCCCAGCCATCTGGGGCTTCCAGGTGAATGGAAGCGAAAGGAGAGGAGAGATGGGTTTTCCACCAGAAGGATGTCCCAAAGCACTCTCTGATGTTGCACCCTATTGTATCTCCAAGTGCTGGGATATGTGCGGCTTCCTATCAAAAAGCGGCTTTGTGACTTCAGACAACAACAAAGGGGAGCGACATGAGAAGTGCCATCACAAGATGGCTTCCTACGGCATGATTCTGCCTCCCTTACCTTGAGTAGCATCTTCCTTCATAACCAGCCCCCCTTTCTTCCGTGTGGCTACCCAGCAAGAGTTGGGGTGTCAGATTTGACTCCTATATAAAGCAGAGCAGACCCTCCCCAAACTGCCCTGAGTGGGTGCCAGAGACAAACGCACAGCACACAAGAGCGAGAAAACCAGTGAACTGACTGGCACATTCTGATATGTTTAAGGACAATTATTAATGAAAAGGCCCGAGGACTGAATTTAGGCTTGTATTCCCTCAACAGTTTGTCTTCTAATTAAAACAGGACCGTGGAGCATAATTAATAGTGAGCTTTCTCCAAAGCATTTCTTGCAGCTCGTCTTGCACACAAAGCGGATGCGGTCGCGCTTGTTTATTTTTCAGTGAAATGCGGGCACCCTTCGTGGGGACCGACACCCTGGTGTGGACCTCGTCTCTGTGGGTCAGTCCCTCTTGGGTTCCCCCATGCTGCCGAGGCTCAGCTTGGCTTGGAGGATTCCCAGCTGGAGGATGAGAATGGGGTGCACTGTCCCCAAGCAGACTGGGACAGGATCGATCTAGAGGTTTTCATTCACCATGGTCATTCAGGCGTGGACGTCTCTCCTGCTGCTCTCCCCAGGGGCCTTCACACTGGCTATTAGCAATAGCGATCAGAGGAGGTGGAGAAGAATTAAACCTTTGTATTTCATTCTCATGCCTCCTCCCCATCAGAGGAACCTGTCTTGCTTTGGAGGGACTGCTCCCTGCAGGGTTAAAAGTGAAGTTAATGTCACTCTCACTGAGAGTATTAATCTCATCTAAGCTCTCTGGATCTTGCTCCCTTCCACATTGCAGCAAAGACCAATAATATATTCTGCAACCCCAGCCCTTAGGGACTATCTGATAATTACTTCCAAGGTGGAGCATATTTGATTAAGGGAGCATGTATAATGAACTGTGAAGAAGAAATATGAGGTCTTGAAAAGAGGAAACTATCTTCCGCTGTGTGATTTGACAAAATGAATTTAAAATGAGAAAGACAGTTAAAGAATAATAAATTTCCTCTCCCTTTGCACGCCTTGCTTCCAGATACTCTGCCCAGGGGCTTGCTGGTGTGCTACTGCGTGCCGCTCTGGTGCAGAGCACACTTTGTAACAGGTGTTCCCGAGGGACCTGCACGGGGCCAGGAGAATGAACGTGCACCTTTCCCGGGCTTGTTCGCCTGCCTTAGCTAGAGAGGTGGAGGAGTCGCTCCCGGTCTGACGGTCCAGCCCCGGTGGGTACCGCAGCTGTCAGCAGTCTGCCTGGTACATCCCGATTCAGACAGATTACAACGATGAGGAGGGGCCTGGGAGGGGCGGCAGTTTGCTGTTGAGAGCGGAGAGCAGCTGGTTGCTGACTACAGAGGAGCGTGCTCCGCTTCCGTCTGGAGGGCAGAGGGAGAGAGGGGGACTCCGGCCTCAGGAGCTGTTCGACATGCTAAGCATTGGCTGGTGAGGGCCACCCCAATGCCAGCTACTAGGTGTTCTGGCCGCCCCTGCGATTGCTAAGTGCAGCAGAGAGGAGAATCCGGCTAGTTTCTGTGGCGTAGACGTGGCAGAGGGGCCCGGCAGCAGAGCCAGGTTGCTGTGGTTCTCCAGCATGGATTGTAGTCGCAGCCCTGAATGGGGACAAGTGCGACCTACAAGTCTGGGCTCACCTGAGATGGTGTCTAAGTGCCGGCACTGGGAGGAGTTGAATCTTCGCTCTCCAAAGCTGAGAGGACAGAGAGCCTGGCCAGGCCTTCTCTTCTCCCGAGGGCCAGACTCTGGGCTTGGAAGGAGAAAAGGGGGAGCTGAGTTTGTGGTGGGTGTGGGGGAGCTTGGGAGGGAAGGTCCTGAACTAGCTGTTTCTTCCCCCTCTGACAGGGACTTGCTCTCTCCTGGCCAGGCAAGCAGCAAAAGGCTTTCACTGTGCCTGTTGCTGGGTCTCTGCTCCTCCACCCCCCACACTGCCAGTTAGTCATTCAGGGCTCTGTGAAGTGCCTGTTTACAAAGCTCCCAACGGGGCCTTGCTCAAACGACAAACTGCTGGTTAAAACATCCGGGGGAGCTCAGAGAGGAGAACTCCTGGGAAGCAACGCCCTGGGCCGGGTGCACTCCCGTGTGTTTAGCAAGCCTCCTGCCGCAGGGCAGAAGGTGACGCTGGGCATTGAGACCTTGCGCTCGGCAGCATCGGGAGGGTCGTGTCATGGGCCGGAGCTCTGGTTTATTCCACGTCAGAAACAGGACGGGACAGGCTGGCTGGGGAAGGTGCAGGGGGGCTGCATTTCATCAGTCGGTGTCTGACCCCAGGGCTCTGTGGGGCCCTCGGAGATGAAAGCCACCATGGGGTATTCATGTGAAGTCGTTCTACCGAAGGGAGTACTTCTAGCTTCCCTGAGGGCAGGGGGGAGGAACCTTTTATGGGCCAGGGCTGCTGACCCACAGAAAAATCAGTCGGGGGCCGCACTCCAGTGAGAAGTACAGCCAGAAGCCCCCGACTAGGAAGGAGAAAGACTCTCTCCACATTCCCCTCACACACCAGTGCCTGGGGGGCCCGGGCTAGAAGATTTTGTGTGCGAAGGGGGGCTGGAGCGCCAGCGCGGGCTCCCCAATGCTGAACCTCGGGGGCCACATCCAGGCAAGCCGTGGGCTGCATTTGGCCCCCAGGTGTGAGGTTCCCCACCTCTGCCTTCGGTCTTATCTGCTCTAGAGAGGGGCCCCTTCTAAATACGTCTTCTTCCCACCCTAGTGACTGGAATGCCGCTCCTGTCCACAGGCAGTGCCCCCAAACCCCATGGCACCCAAAGAAGGGGTGTTTCCCTCCTGCAGACTGTATCGGGTGGCTTGCATTGGAGAACGAGATAAAATCGGGCTTGGCTTTCTCCCCTCTCCCCTCTAGGAATACACCATTGATGTCTTTTTCCGGCAGTCCTGGAGAGACGAAAGGCTGAAATTCGACGGCCCCATGAAGGTCCTTCCGCTGAACAACCTGCTGGCCAGTAAGATCTGGACTCCTGACACCTTCTTTCACAACGGCAAGAAATCTGTGGCCCACAACATGACCACTCCCAACAAGCTGCTGCGGCTGGTGGACAATGGTACCCTTCTGTACACCATGAGGTAGGTGCACCTCCCCTAGGCATGGGGGGATCCAGAGCCCAAGGGTTTGCAAAAATCCGACGCCCATGGGGGGGCCTGGGCTGAGACCAGTGGGATCTTAAGGCAGGGTACAACCGGGGCCATGCAAGCGTCCTGCTTCTAAGAACCAAAATGAGTTTCATCAACGCTTCACATTTCGGTAGCACATATCAGACATTAGCGAACGTTGGCTGTGCTCCTGGAACAAGGGCCTCTCAGGATCAAGATGCTTCTGTTTCCACTGAGGAAACTGAGGCATGGAGCCTAACTAACAGCCGGTCCCTGAGTAAAGAGAAGGTGAAAATACTAGGTTTGATGCACCACTGTGCACTCATCCAAACCTGTGGGAAGTGGGGCTAACATGTGACCGCATCAGGATGGGAGTAACATTTACCACTACACTGCACTCAGTGTAAATGAGGAGAGATCCCCCACCTCCTCCATCCTGCCCCTTGAGGTGCAGTTTGCTCTGGCAATGCCCCTCGGGGTAGTGCATCTTTCTACTGAGAGCCAGGCGGGGGCAGATCCAGGTCCTGATCTCCTTGCCCCTCAGAACTGGCCCAAGGCGCAGCCCAGACACGGTCCTGGTATCATGGTGGGGCCTGTACCCGCCCCCCAGCCCTATGCAATGGGGAGCCTGGAACTGATTGTGCCTCTCTGAGTTTCCTGGGGAAGGTGTTGCGTTGCACTGTCTCTACTCAGCATTTTCAGTCTGGCCCTTTATGGCACTGTGCAATTGGACACACAAAACACTGCCTTCCCCCTTCACTTGCAGCAGCAGGTCCCCCCCAATCCACCCCCCCCAGAGGCATCAAATGCTAAGATGAGTGGTCTTAGAGGTGGATCCTCCTCCCCGACCCCTTTCCTCCCTCTCTCCCCCCGGCGGTTTTTGGTTTTGGTTTGGTTTGGTTTTTTTTTTTTGGCTTGAAAAATTTTTGTCCGGTATTTCTTTTGAAACCATCTGGGCCAGTTAGGACTGTCCCTGAGTCCAATTACCCAGCATTCCCCCTGCAGTCCTGCCTGAGTTTTGCCGCAATTTGCAAAAGCCACGTTCAGGGCCCCCGTGGTCCCCACAGAGCCCTAGAGCACAGAGTGAGTAAAACGAATTGAGGTGCGCGTGCGGATGTGCACAGGGTGTGAAAATAGCCGTGGACTCGAGGCAGGCACGTCGGGGTGAAATCTGTGGGCGTGTTAGTTAGGTCAGGCTCTCAGCCGCTCCCTGCAACTGTACCCCGGATGCGTCTTGTGTATCTCTGTGTTTCACCTCACTTGAAAACGACTTGCTCACAAAACCAGACATAAAAATATCAAAGGGCCACTGGGCAGCCGTGCTGAAAAATGGCTTCCCTTTGCATTTTGACCGTGTTTTCACATCCATCAGTTCAGATCTAACCGTTGTGCTTGCAGGTCGGGGTACACAATGGAGAGCAGGGTGAACAAGTCATGACGTGACATTTTAGTTAGTACCGACGTCGCTCCCCAGGACCCAAGGGTTGTTCAGTTTTCTCAAGGGAGTTGTGAGGGGGCAGATCCATGCCCAGATCTGCTCCCCTACTCACAACGGGTTAGAGGAGCTGACAGCCTCCGTGGGCCCCGGGACAAGAGGGGGGGCTCCATGCTCCCAGAAGGGGCGGGGCTGGAGAAGCCAGCCCAAAGGGCTGCCTGTAGCACGGTGCTGCCCCCCCCCCCAGCCTTCAGAGCCATGTAGGGGACATAACATGGCATTCCCGTGGCAACATAAAGGGCCTGTTGCTGCAATTGCCCCCTTAGCCCGCCCCCCACTATCGGCAGGCCTGGAAGTGGCTCAAGCGCTTTTCAGGTTGCCTATTGTAAATCTAAGCCCATCTTTAGATGAGGTTCCCCCTGGAAGACTGCTGTGTGACCTGGGACTGTGCGTACTCCTGGCGGAGAACCCCTGGCCTAGCTGATCATAGTGACTCTTCCTCCTAGCCATAAAATGTCACAGGCAGCAGCAGGGGTGTCTGGCCTCCTAACCCCGCCCCTTCCACACAAGACCCCGCCCCTTCCAAATGAGACCCTGCCCCTTCCGGGAGCACTAAATCTTTCCCTTCCCCTTCCCTGGCGCCCAGCAATTCTTTTGACCCCCCTCGTCTACATACATGTTGTTGTGATTTCCAAATTATTGGTGCTCAATAGGGGAAAGGTCGTTTTCTTTGATTGCCGGCCCAGCCAACTCAGTGGAAGACCTGAGAAGCAAGCTCTGGGTGGTTTCAGGCAGCATGTTCAAGCAATCTCATAAAATCATCTGATCTCTCGGGGGCTGAAATTCTGCCATTTGGCCCTGAAATTTCCCGAAAACCAATCCGGAGATTTCGGTGCTGTCAGATCCAAAGCCTGGATCCTAGACCTGGCTCAGCCTTGAACCCAAACCCCAGACTGGAGTGCAGCCCAGAGCTGAGCTTTAGCCTACTTGTGCTTATGAAGGAATCACCTAGGGACAGCAGAGTGAAGGGTGGAAAAGGACAATCCCAGAATGACAGAACTGGCATAGGCAAAGTCTCGGGTGCTGAAATGCTTTTGTGCCATATATAGACCAAAGGATCATCACCTTTATTCCGGAGTGTTCGGAAGGAGTCGGCAGCACGTTCTCTAGCGCTGCATAGGTAATTGTCGGCAGGATAATGACACATCAAAGCTTTTGATAATCTCATGGTAACCATGAGAATGAAGCTGGAGTGGTTTGTAGTACCATCGGCCCTAGAGAGGTGTGTTTAGCCTTCTACACGCTTTCTTGCCATTGGCTTTAGCTGTCTGAAGGAAAACGTAGGTTCTTCCTGGTCAGGTTGTTCCCAGTAGGAGTGATTCAAGAGAGGAGAAAAACGTAGATCCCATAGGGTGATTTCAAGACAACTACACAAAAAGTGAGTTGCGGGTGGGTGGGAAAGAGAAGTTAATGGAGCAGAGGGTAGGATGGTAGGGGCATAATTTTTTTTAGGAAAAAATTCCTAGCTGTCAGGGTGGTCAAATATTGGAATAAATTGCCAAGGGAGGTGGTGGAATCTCCCTCTCTGGAGATATTTAAGAACAGGTTAGATAGACATCTGTCAGGGATGGTGTAGACGGAGCTTGGTCCTGCCTTGAGGGTGGGGAGCTGGACTCAATGACCTCTCGAGGTCCCTTCCAGTCCTATTATTCTATGATTCTATGAGATCAGCTAGAGCTGGGTGAAAAATTTTGGACAAATAATTTATTCACTGAAAACTGCAGTATTGAGTTGTCTGAAATTGGGAGTTTGAGTTGAATTCGGTGAACAGTTTGAAAAATTTGATGTTTTTCTTCCCGAAGTCAAAACATTTCAGTGCAGCCCTTTCGAAGCCAAGCATTTCAGCTCTTTGTGGAGAAGTGCGGTTCTGTTTGGAAATCTAGCTGGTTTTCTTCTACAGAAACCAAAGCAAAGGATTTAAAAAAAAAAACAGTTGGAATGAAATATCCTGTTTCGCATGGAAATTAAACATGATTTGACACAAAACCAAACCTTTTTCAGTTTATCCTTGTGACGAAGAATCTGAAAAATGTTCATTTCAGGAGGACCCAATATGAATCATCTCCCAGGGCTTTCAGTTCTGTCACTGAACTGAAAAACTCAGGTATTTGCCCGGGGTCAGGGCAGAGGTGCCTCGGCCCGTCATCACATGCTGTTCAGGATGCACAGTGATACCTCACAGCTAAACTAGCTGAGTCCTTATATAGCATCACACCTCTGAGACAGGACGGACTTCTCCGCTAGCTGCAGTGCCACAGTAAATATGCATCGCTCTGCAACAAGTCTTCTTGAACAAGCACTGCAGAGGCCGTGATAATTACCTGGGAAATTAGACATATTCCTCTTAGTCTGACATTTTGACATTTCATTAGGCAGAGCATATGGTCTTGCAATGTCCTTGGGCCAGGAACAGAACTCAGAAGGAGAGGCCAAGTGGGGGGAGAAAGGAAGGGAAA